AACCAAATGAGCCACCTAGGTGCCTCTTGAATTAGTGTTTTTATTTTCTCAGGGTAAATACCTAAAAGTAGAATTATTGGATCATATGATAGATCTACTTTTAGTTTTTTGAGAAACCTCCATAGTGTTTTCCAGATCACACCCTGCTGCACCAGTTTGCATTCCCACCAACAGTGCAAGGGGCTTCCCTTTGCTCCACATCTACACCAACATCTGTTGTTTCTTGTGTTGTTGATTTTAGCCATTCTGACAGGTGTGAGGTGATATCTCATTATAGTTCGGACTTGCATTTTCTTGATGATAAGGGATGTTAAGCACCTTTTCATGTGTCTGTTGGCCATCTGTATGTCTTCTTTGGAAAAATGTCTATTCAGGTTCTCTGCTCAAATCAGATTATTTGGGTGGGTTTGTTTGCTTGTTTGTTTGTTTTGGTTCTGGTGTTGAGTTGTATGAGTTCTTTATATATTTTGAATATTAGCCCCTTACTGTATATGCCACTTCAAAATACCTTTTTCCATTCAGTACGTTGCTTTTTTGTTTTATTGATGGTTTCCTTTGCTGTGCAGAAGCTTTTTATTTTGCTGTATTCCTAACTGTTTATTTTTGCTTTTGTAGTCATTGCCTTTGGAGTCAGATCCATAAAAGTATTGCTAAGGTCAATGTCCATGAGTTTACTGCCTATGATTTCTTTTAAAATTTTAATGGTTTCAGGTCTTACATTTATATCTTTAATCCATTTTGAGTATTTTTGTGTATGGTGTGAAAAAGTGGTCCAGTTTCATTCTTTTGCATGTGGCTGTCCAGTTTTTCCAGCACCATCTGTTGAAGAGACTGTCTTTTCCCCATTGTGTGCTGTTGCCTTTGTCACAGATTGCCTGACCATGGGTTTATTTCTGGGTTCTCTCTATTCTGTTCCATTTATGTGTCTATTTTTGTGCCAGTACCATACTGTTTTGGTTACTACAGCTTTGTAGTATAATTTGAAATCTGGAATTGTGATGCCTCCAGCTTTGGTTTTCTTTTTCAAGCTTGCTTTGGCTACGTATTCAGGGTCTTTTGTAGTTCTATACAAATTTTAGGATTGTTTGTTCTAGTTCTATGAAAAATACTACTGGTATTTTGATACGAATTGCCCTGGAACTGTAGATTGCATTGGGTTCATCTTTGGCTCCTTAGAAAAAACTCCGCTTTGCATTGCCAAAACATTCTCATTCTCCCTACCACTTGAGGAAAAAACAAATTTACAAAGGAAGAGAACAAAGAATACAAAAAGGCAAAAGAGAGCTTCTTTATCCCTTAGTCCCACTCCAAGCTGGTGAGCTACGTAGTGAATGAGACAGTATTAGTTTGGGTCACAGAACCCAGGGACCAACTTGAGTATTTTTTCACAGTTTTATTCCAGAGAATGGCATTTCCTGAGCACCAGTGGTTCTGAGTACCAGGCAACAAAAGCCTTGTCAGAACTGGAAAAGAGGTGATGCCATCCCCAACCTCACTGCATCCAAACTGGAAACACCAAAGGCTCCATTCTACACCAAAGATATGTTTACTCCTCCCATGGGTTTAGTTTGCAGACTTAACTAAGTGCACCAATGAGTTTGGAGACATCCCATTCATGTCATCAGCCTGGCCCAACGCCACTTTGCTGCATGCTCTGGAATCACCTCCTTCTTGTTCATTGATAGCATTACTTTTCCAAGAAATGGATTAGTGAAGGAGTCTTGAAGATGTTGAAGGATTTTCAAACTTAAGGAATGAATTGCCAAGAATAAAATTGGAGGAGATGCCTTTCAGTGTTGGGCCCGCCCAGCATCATAGTATGTAGGCGGCTCACTCACCTATCAATGCATACAGTTGATCCTATTGAAACAACTACAGGGAACAGTGCAACATGTCAATGGATCCTCCTCAACCTCTATCCCAGGTGAACATGTGGTGGTAAAGGATGCCAAGGCCTGGGAAGGGGTTGGAATAGTCCACTGAAACTGTGTTTAAGTGAAGCGAGGTTGTGAGTGGGCCAGAACATAATCAATGGAATCATACTATAGTTTGGTTTTCATTCCATGCTTTTCATCCCCATTAGTCTTCTCTTTATGGCACAGTGAACATTGAGCAGGACTTGGGAGACAGAACACAATGGGGCTGATTCCTGGCTCTGGAAGACAGTAACTGGATGTTAGGTGAGATCTCTAACTCTCAGTATTAGCTTCCTAGGGCTGCCATAACAAAGTATCACAACCTGGATGGCTTAAACAATAGAAGTTTATTGTCTCACATTTCTGGAGATTGGAAGTCCAAGATCAAGGTGCTGACAAGGTTGGTTCTTTCTGAGGGTGCTGAGGAAGAACCTGGCTAGGCCCTTCTCCTGGCTTCTGGCAGATGCTGGCAACCTTTGGTGTCCCTTGGCTTCTAGATGCATCACCCATTCTCAGCCTTCATGTTTACATGGTGTTTGTCCTCAAAGAAAACAAAAACAAAAATAAAAACAAAACCAAAAATACATGGTGTTCTTCCTGTGTGTAACTCTGTGTCCAAATTTCCCCTTTCAGCAAGGATACAGTCATATTGGATGAGGGTCCACTCTAGTGACCTTACCTTAGCTTGATTATCTCTTTAAAGACCCTATCTCCAACTATAGATGCTGGTGAGGATGTGGAGAAACGGCACCCTTCTACACTGTTGGTGGGAATGTAAACTGGTGCAGCCCCTCTGGAACACAGTGTGGAGATTCCTCAAAAAATGAACAATAGAACTCCTCTATGACCCAGGAATAGCACTGCTAGGAATTTACCCAAGGGATATAGGAGTGCTGATGCCTAGGGGCACATGTACCCCAAAGTTCATAGCAGCACTCTCAACAATAGCCAAAACATGGAAAGAGCCTAAGTGTCCATCAACGGACGAATGGATCAAGAAGATGTGGTTTATCTATACGATGGAATACTACATGGCAATGAGAAACAATGAAATCTGGCCATGTGCAGCAACATGGATGGAACTCGAGGGTGTTATGCTGAGCGAAATAAGTCAGGCAGAGAAGGACAGATACCACATGTTTGCACATATAGGAGGATTAGGAGGAACTTAACGGAGGACCATGGGGGAGAAGAAGGGGAAAAATAGCGGGGAAGAGGGAGGGAGGCAAACCATGAGAGACTCTTTAATGCTGAGAACAAACTGAGGACTGATGGGGGTGGGGGAGAGGGGAAGGGGGCTGATGGGCATGGAGGAGGGCACTTGTGGGGATGAGCACTGGGTGTTAGATGGAAACCAACTTGACAATAAATTATTTAAAATAAAATAAAGGGGCGCCTGGGTGGCTTAATCGGTTAAGCGTTCGACTTTCGCTTAGGTCATGGTCTCGCGGTTCGTGGATTCGAGCCCCACGTCGGGCTCTGTGCTGACTGCCAGCTCAGAGCCTGGAGCCCATTTCAGAGTCTGTATCTCCCTCTCTCTCTGACCCTCCCCTGCTCACGCTGTCTCTCTCTCTCCTAGAAATAAAAATATTTAAAAATAAATAAATAAAATAAAATAAAGACCGTATCTCCAAATAAGGTCACATTCTGAGGTGCTGGGAGTTGGGACTTTAATGTACAAATTTATGGGAGACACAATTTAACCCGTACAACTTAACTACTTTTCTCGTCTGTAAAGAGGGATCACAATGCAATTCTTCCTCATATAATTGTCATGGCTGTGACAATACCTAATACGGACATCTTGTCTGTCTGAATGTGTGTGTGCCTTCAGGATGTCTAGACCAGACTGCGCCCCCAGGGAGCAGGGCTCAGTCAGGGGTCCCAGCCTGTAAGTGTCCAACACAAGTGAGCAGGTGCTTGTCAATGCATTTTGATGATGGTGAAGATAAAAGGCTAGAGAGAAAAATCTGATGACAGATGAGCCAGAGCTATAAAAAGGGTTGATTCCAAGTGCTGGTGAGGAAGCGGAGGGTGTGGAACCCCCGGACACAGCTGACTGGGGTGCACATTGGTATAAATCCTCTGGACGGCAGGTTGGCTTTATGCCAAAGGGGAAATGCTGTGAGCTGATGTCCTGGCCATCCCACATCTAGGTATATACTCTAGAAAAAATCCTCATACATGGCCCAGGACACATGTGTAAAAATGTTCATAGCACTATTGTTTGTAGAGAAATAATCTAAATTTCCCAAATGTGATGTATTCATATAAAGGAATAACATACAGCTGTTAAAGAGAATGCATAGCTCATGGATGAATCTCAGGAATAAAATACTGAACAAAAAAGAACAAATTGCAGAAAGACATATATAATGGGTCAGGTGAAACTAAATGATATATTGCTTAGGATACATATATACGTATATGTATACAAAGTATAAGAAGTATGGGAATGCTAAAACGCAGAATTGAGGAAGGGATGTTATCTCGGGAGAAGGAGAGGTGCAAGGGGGTGCTTCAACTATATTTATAATAGTGTGGTTATTTTTTTAAACCGGGGTGGCCAGCAAAAGGTATCGGTTATTCTTTACAACTTTGTGTGTTTGAATTCTAATACTTTTTAAAGAGCCAGGACTCCAGAAGCCTTAATTAAAGAAGGAGGGGCGCCTGGATGGCTCTGTCAGTTAAGTGACTGGCTCTTGACTTAGGCTCAGGTCATAATCCCACTGTTCGTGGGTTCAGGCCCCACACTGGGCTCTGAGCTGGCAGTGCAGAGCCTGCTTGGAATTCTCTCCCCCCACCCCCACCCCTGGCTTGTGTGCTCTGTCTCTGTCTCTCAAAATAAATAAATAAACTTTAAAAAAAAAAAGAAGAAGAGGGAGGGGCTGGGGGGCTGCTTGGGGGGAGATTCAGAGCTGCTCTTGCTGTCCCCCGGAACCCAGAACCCAGAATAAATACGACTGCCACACTGAAAGGTAGAGACCCAGAAGGGTGAAGCCTCTCCTGTTGACGGGGACGGGGGGGGGGGGGGTCGGGGGGAAGGCCCTCCTGATGTCGCCCCCGTCTCTGTTCCGAACCTAGCTGTTGGCCTGCACCCCAAGCCCAAACTGCAGAGAACCCCGGCGCAGGAAACAGCGGGGCAGCGAGAGCGGAGACGGGAGGGCACCTGCCCAGGGACGCACGTGCCCGCATCCCACACGCGCACCTTGCACGCAGGCTGCCTGCCTCCCAACACCCACACGCACCGCCTTTCCAACAAGCTGGCACCAACACCCTGACAGTTTACAACACCGTCACACCCCTCGTGCTTGCAGGCACCCCTGCGCGCGCGCACACACACACACACACACACACACGCGCGCGCGCACACACACACGCACACCCCGTCCACCAACCGCTCCCACCAGGACCCCAGAGTTGGACGCGCTGCAGAGCCTGTCAGCAACCCCCCCCCCCCCCCCCCCACCTCCTGGAGCTGGGTTTTTCCAGCCGGAGCCTCACTCCCTCTACTGCAATCTCAGGAAACTGGTGTCTGACGCTGCCGCTCCTGCACATTATTTATTTCCTCTGCCCCCGGGAGACCCTCCTGTTAGGAGAGCTGCGACCCCGGAGAACGGGGAACGGGGAACGCGGAACGGGGACAGGCGGGAAGAGGCGGCGGGCCGCGGGAGGCAGAGGGGATGGAGGCGAGGACGGTTCAGCAGCCCCCCCCCTGCTCATCGAGCTCCGCGAGCCCCGCAGGGGCCGCGAGCAGCAGGCAGGAGGCCGGGAGAGAGGAGGGAGACTCCGGGAGGAGGGCGCAGGGGGCAGCGCTTCTGGACCGAGCGCCCCTGAGCCAGCAGCGCCGGCTCAGACAGGCCACCCGGTTCCTGCACAAGGACTCTGCCGACCTGCTCCCCCTGGACAGCCTCAAGAGGCTCGGCACCTCCAAGGACTTGGTGAGGCAGCCCTCTCCCCACCCTTCCCCCCTCTCCCCCTGTATCCTGGGGGTGGGGGGTGGGGGGTAGAGGGCCGGGAAGTCCAGACCCTAACCTTCCGATCCCCTCTCCCCTGCTTAGCGTGGGGCAGAAGTAGTCCCAGACGGAGGGTCTCCGCTGTGACTACCCTCAGACTCTTCACCCAGGATGCTCCCATGGGTTGGTGGCTCTGGGGTGCCTAGTCTTGCTCAGCTTCTCTCAAATAGCCCAAATGGCCCAAGACTTATCTTGGGGTGATGAGGAGCTGTCCTATTTCGGGGAAGAGGCTTACAAGGACACAGGAACCTTCTGGAGCAGTCATTTACTGCTGGGAGGGCCTGGAGGCCTGGCCAGTTTAGGGTTATGGTTTCTCTCCTGTCCCTAAACAACAGATTCCTTCCTACCAGGTCTGACCATCCATTTGCCTTTTCCTTCCATAATGGAAGCACTAAAGGCTTCCATCCTTTCCAGAGCCTCGGGGTCTCATATGGTTCTCGCCTGGGCCACCGGCCTCCTGAGTGCCCCCTCACTGCCTCGCAGGGGCAATGGCCCTCCCAGGCCCCTTTCTTTCCCCTCTCTGCAGCAGCCGTGGCCTCCAGAGGGAATGGGGTGGGGGGTGTAAAAACGAGGAGGTGAGTGGGTCAGGGGCAGCTGCGTGCACACGTCCCCCTCTGAGACCGTGGTGAAGAGCGTGGGCTTTGGAGCCATGCCGCTTGGGTTCAGATTCTGGCCCTGCTACTTACTACCTCGGGCAAGTTGCTTTATATCTCGGAACCCGTTTCTTCATCTGCTAAATGAGGACAAAATTAGTAGTATCTCCCTCACAGCGTTGCTGTGGGAGTTGCATGAACTGATGCCTACAAGGGGCTTAGCAGAGAGCCTGGAAAACAGAAAGCACTGTCTAAGGTCTAGCTATGATTATGCCTCCAGCTACGACTCCATTTAGGTTGAGAGAGTGAGCTCTGTAGGGTCCAGAGACTATGGAATCCTCTGTGCCTACTGGCTCTTCTAGAAGAAACGAGGGCGTTTGTAGAAGGGCTTGGAAGCGCTTAGTTCCCTCACCCACTTCCTCATCGGAAGGTCTGAGAGGAGGGCCCTCCTCCAACCTGAGGGGCGCAAAGTCAACTCCAGGGGCCTCAGGCTGTAGTCAGCCTGGACGCCGACTCAGCCCCTCTTTCCCTTTCCTGACCCAGTCCTACCAGATTCCTCCCAGACGAAAGGTTCCTCCTCCAGGAACCCAACCGAGAGGCCAGCAGATTCCCAGCTTCAGCCCAGCAGCCCCCAAACAGGAAAAGTGATCAGGCTGATCTCAGTCCAGGGAACTTCAGGGCTGCTTTGCACACACAGGAGCGCAGCTGAGAAACAGGGAAAAACAGGATAACAGGGAAGCTTGTGCTTTGGCTCCTGGTGGCTAGGACCTCAGAGCCTCTCTGGTTTGGAGACCACCCTACATCCATCTGACCCTGGACTAGAGGCTCTGTGAACACTGCCATCCCAGAGTGGCAGGTCCGGCCTTCTGGTAAGTCCTGAGCTTTGTACCTCAGCCCACTGCCTCAGGACCTCCCGAATTGATCTCAAGCAGTTACCTTGTGTGGCTCTGGACGTGAAGACAACAGGTTGGGGGGGGACCCCACTGACTCCCTCCCTAGGGTAACTCTGGGGCATACTGCACAGCAGTGGAAGCCTGAAGCCTGTGTCCATCGTGGGAAAGGTGGGAGGAGAGTTGGGAACTGCAGAGTCGCTCTTTCCGGCCTGTCCCAGAGTTCACTGCCCTTTTCCCAGACCTGGGTCCCCTGCTGGCAGCCTTGCTGGCGGGAGCAGCGGGTCTCAAGGGCCTCATTAAACTGAGAGTAGGAAAACAATCCCACGTTCCCAAGAAGAAAGGGCAGGTGGAGAAGCATGTGTGGAGCCTGGACAGATAGAGTCATTCTTCAACAAGCATTTATTGAGTGCCTACTATATGTTAAGCCAAGCCTTGCGGTATAAAGGCCTGATCTCACGGGCTCTCCAGGCTAATGGGGGAGTAAAATCCACAAATAACGTCTGTGAGAAGCATGACCAAGGGAGCTAGGAGAAGGGACGCTGGCCACAGCCTAGTCTGTGGAATGAAGAGTTCGAGGAAGTCAGAGGGGGCTTCCTGGAGGAGGGAACCACTGTGTTAATTATAGGATACACAGGGAATTCCAGACTTAGATAAAAACCTCTCTCCTAAATAAAGAGTAGTTCCTGAACAAACTATCTTGAACCAGCATCCAGTCTGGCCTACAGAAGAATGAGAAAGAGGGGTCTTGGGAAGGGGGTTGAGCAGGAGCAAAGGTAAGAACAAGCAACCTGATACAAGCAGTATAAGCAGGATCAATGGGGGCAGATATGTGGAGCGAGGGACGAGACTGAGGACCAGGTGATGGCCAGGTCATCTGGGCTGTGCATCACCTGAAAAAGTTTGGGCTTTATCATGCAACAGGAAGCAGGCGTGCTTTGGTAGATTTTAAACAGGAGTAGCATGACTAGTTTTGTTTTCCTTTGCTGCTTCTCAGACTTTAATATGCACACGAATCATCAGGGCATCTGGTTAGAATGAAGCTTCTGATTCAGTAGGTCACGATTCTGCATCTCTAACAACCTTCCAAGTGATGGCAAATGATGTCAAAGCTACAGATCTGAGGACCACACTTTTGAGTAGCAAGGGTTTTATCTTTTTTAAGTTTATTCATTTATTCTGAGAGAGGGCACAAGCTTGAGGTGGGGAGGGGGAGAGAGAAGGGGAGAGAAAGAATCCCAAGCGGGCTCCAAAAGGTCAGCGCGGACGGAGCCTGATGTGGGGCTCAAACTCACAAACTGTGAGATCATGACCTGAGCTGAAATCCAGAGGTGGACCTTTAATGGACTGAGCCTCCCAGGCACCCCTGCGTAGCAAGGGTCTTAGATAATCACTGGCTTTGAGCAGGTGTGTCTGAGAGACAACAGTACTGGAGGCTGGTTCTTAGGAACTTAGGGAGGCGATCCAGTGATCCGAGACAGCTGAGGGGAGGCTTGAATAAAAGCAGTAACACAAAGCAGGGATGGACTCTATATACAGGAAGCAAAGCCGGCAGAACTTAGGAAGTAAAGTGACCAGGTGCAGTGAAGGTGGATTCAGGTGAGGGACAGTTCAAGCATCCTAGTTTTGAAGATGTGACTTTTTTTTTTTTCTTGTTGAGTCTGACTTCTTTCCATCACACCATGAACCCTGGGATCTGCAGCCCATTGAAGGATGAGGTCAGAAGTGGGGGAAAGGAGGAAAATGTTAAAAACATGTGATATAGACCTGAGACAAAAAGTTCCCCAAGCATAATACTAGCTCCTGAGAGGTCTTGGCAGCCAATAGGTTGGTCTAATCCAGAATGGACTGTTCTCTTCCCATTTCTTCATTGCTGAGCAATCTATTGGGGTCCCGGCAAAACGATATGATTTGAGACTGGGGTTCACTCTGCTAGAATGATCTGATGGCTGGGACTTGGGCAAACTCCTGCCCCTTTCTTACTCCCATGAGATGCGGGACTGGGGGGTGGGGCTGGGGAGAACATGGTGGGAGATGTAAGGTGGGGGAACAGAGTGGCGGGGATGCTTGGGTTTAGACCTGTCTGCCTTCTTTGTTTTGTGACGGAGCCAGCAGCCGCACAGCGTGATCCAAAGGCGCCTGGTAGAGGGGAACCAAAGTCGGTTTCAGGGCGAGTCTCCACCCGCTCAGGCCCCAATTCCCGGCCAGGAGAGCAGGAGGAAGACCAGCAAAACACAGATTCCTGCTCTTCTGGTGAACTGCAAGGTGAGAGACTTCCCAGGGCGCTGGCTTTCACGAACAATCCTGCCTGTGAATGGCTCACTTCCCTGGGCAGTGAGGGAAGGAGGGAAGGAGGGAAGGAGAAAAGGCACCTCTCCCCCGAGGCTAGACCTAAAAATGGGATCATGTACATTCTTTACTCTCTGCCTCAGCCCATCTTCCCTCCGTGTAATTCCATGTGTCCATGCCACCCCTCCCTTTCTCAGATATAATCTCCAAATGTGCATGTGTAACTACTCACACACGTAGTGTGTTCTACAGGCATGAAGTATGACACATATGATGCTGCATATGATGCATATGGTGTGCACGTATGCATCCTGCAACCCCCTCAGAAAAAGCTCGTGTGTTCCCAGGTGACAGCCTTGTCCTCTCTGAAGCCATATGACCACCCAAGCAGCTCTGAACATCCACCGCTCCTCTGCCACGGCTTTTGTGTGGCGTTTTCTCTTCCTGCTCTCCAGTCTCCGTCCACATTCTAGAATCTTTTAAGGCCTCAAATGTTACCTCCTCCTTGAAGCCTTTTCTGATTTCCCCAGTGGGAAACGCCTCTCCTTCCTCTCAATGTCCAGGGCACTTTACTCACAACCCTTTTGTAGACCTTAAAAGTTTCTACCATGCAGTAGTTAGATGTCACTTCCCGTATCCCTGAGCACAGCCTTCATTGCTGTACCTTCCAGCAACATTTCTGGCACGTAGCAGGTGCTCAGTAAATGTCTGGATTGAGAAAATGACATGCATTTGGGATGTCCAAGTGTACCCCAAAATGTCTGTATATATCCAGAAGAAAGTGAACCTGTTTCCGTGGTGAACCTGTCGCTTACCCTCATCTGAATTTCCTGGTGAGGCAGCCAGCTCTTCTCGCCCCTCCTACATTCCTCACCTTGACCTCTCTAACCTGGACCCTTGGCTTCCCAAGAATTCCTCTACACAAACAGATCTCCACTTCTGGTCAAGTTGTTCCCACGTGTATGAACTCCCCATAGGCAGCTCTACTTCCTTTTTTGATTCCTGCATCCAAGAGCCGGTTTTGCCTCAATTGCATGAGTGCCATAAAGATCACTCTGAAAGACATGGTTCATTCCCTTCACGTGTTTCTGAGAGGGAGTCATCAAAGGGCTGGGATCCAAGCCCAATCCATTCCCACTGACCCCCTGCGACCCTCTTTCTCAGTGCCGAGACCAGGAGCTTCGGGTGGCCGTGGACACAGGCACCCAACACAACCAGATCTCGGCCGGATGCCTCAGCCGCCTGGGGTAAGAGTGTGGCCCAAAAGAATGGATGGGGGATGGGGTTTCTTTGGGGGGTGATGGAAATATTCTGATATTAGATAGTAGTGGTAGTTGCATAACTCTGTGAATATACTAAAACCCACTGCATTTATAAAGGGGTGGCTTTTGTGGTATATGAACTATGTATCAACAGAACTATAATTAGTTTTCTATAATTAGAAAAAAAGATTGGCTGGAAGCTCTGGTAGAGAAGACAAGGATTCAGACCCCACACGGTGCCAAGGGAATGGATGAGAACCCATGTATGGGGGGGAGGGGCGTCAGCTGATGAAGGGGCTGGGGCTGGAGGCTGTGGTGGCCATAACCCTTGCTTCCCAACCACAGGTTAGGGAAGAAGGTCCTCAAAGCCCCAGGTGGCGACCTGGCCCCTGGGCCCCCCATGCAGGTGGAGCAGCTAGAGCTACAGCTGGGCCAGGAGACGGTGGCCTGCTCTGCCCAGGTGGTGGGTGAGTCCTCCCTCCCTTCACAGCCTCTTCCTCTTCTGCCTTCCTCTCCTGGCACCATATGAGATGTCCCCAGTCTCTGGGCCCAGACCCTCAGACCTGGGGTGGGGAGGGCAGACAAGGATCGAGTGTGGACAGAAGGGCACCATGACCCCTGGTTACCCTCCCACCTCTTGTTTTCAAACGATTCCTGCAGATGTTGAGAGTCCCGAATTCTGTCTTGGACTGCAGACTCTGCTTTCTCTCCAGGTAAGGAGGATGCAGGCACTTGACCCACACTTAGGGTCTGACCCAAAGGGCTGGGATAAAGAGGTAAAAGGCACAGGTGAGGAAGCATGCACCAGCTTCTGATGAGAAAGACTCAGAGTTGAGTGATTTCACCTTGCTTCCCTAGAGGGTCCTTATTTGCCCACAAGTGAAACATAAGAACCAGGTCCCAGTGCCCCCCACACCAGGGCTCCAGGTGAATGGAAACGGAGAAGAGCAAGGAGCAAGGGGGCGGGGAGGGGGGCGGTAAGAAGGCGGAGGGTGAGGGAGAGGCTACCTGCTGAGAGAAGCACACATTTCCCTTCCCCACAGTGCTGCATTGACCTCGAGCATGGAGTGCTGCGGCTGAGGGCCCCCTTCCCAGAGCTGCCCTTCCTGCCTCTGTACCAAGAGCCTGGCCAGTGACCGTGGAACCAGTCAGTCCCCAGGGGAAGGATGGTGCCCCAGGGAAGAGCTGTGTTGGGGAATGGGGTATTACTGGGCCAGGTACCTGGGACTACCATGTCTGTCCCTTCTGTCATCACCCTGACCCTGCCGTCCCGTTGGCCTCAATCGGCCACATTCCTCTCTGCTTCTGAGCAACTGCCCAATCCTCCAGGAGTCTTCCATAGAGAGGGCCCATGATCTCAGGGGCCTGGCCTCCCCACTCCCCTCCAAATCAGGACTGTGGAAAAGGATGGAAGCGAGGTGTGGTGGGAACCGGCCCAAGTCAAAGGCTACAGCCCGTAGTGTCCTTTACCTGCCTCCACACACCCCTCGGCGGCCTTCACTCCCATGCCTCTCCCTTTCCCTTCGGGGGCTCGTTACCTCTTGCAACTAGACTGCCACGCCTCACCCACCGGGGGCCCTGTGCCTGCTGACGTCTACCTTTCTGATCCTGCACACATCTGCTCACGGCTGAGTGGGGGAAGAAACAGGAAACAGAATACTCCAGAACAGGAGGGAGTCGGGTTGGGAGACGAGTGTCAGGCTCTCAAGGCTGGGAGTTTTCTTAAGTTTCCTTTCCTGGGGTTGTAGACGTCGGAAGTCAGTTATTCGATCTCCTTGTGCGAAACCTTGGGGGTACCTCCAGCATTTCTCCAGGTGTTTCTCCTCCCCTTGCTTTTTTACACTCTGGGCCCCTGAACTTCAGGGAGGTGGCAGGGAGCCCTGTCAGGAACTGCCCCCACAAGGCAGACAGGATGGCAGGCGCTGGCCGTACTCACACTTGGAACCTAACCAGTATTCTTTCTTATTTCTAGAACTACTCACCTCATTAGACCTTCTTCCTTCCCCTCATCTCTGGCCTCCTGAGCCTGAGCTTGTCTTATTTTGGAATCTTATTTTGATCCTTCGCCAGGCTCTGAGCCAAAGCAAAAAAAACAAAGAGGCTTTTCGTCTTCACTGTGAAGAGAGGAACCCAAACCTTAAGGAGCCAGACACCCTGAGCGTCTTTCTGGCAGGTTTGAGTCTCTCAAGTCACTGACTAGGGGGAGAGGAAGACAGTGATGCAAATGATCTCAGCCAGGGAACTAGGACCTTGGGGTGGAAGCAAAATCTTGAGCCCGGGGTAGAGGAGAGGAGAACCAGGATACGACCCCGCTGCCCTGTGACATCTGGTCTTGCCTTTCCCAGCGGAGTTCCCTGTCCTCAAAAGAAGAGGAGGGGGCTCACTACCACATGTGGCATGATGATACCCTGGTCCCTCTCTGCCTTGCCCCGTAACCTCTGCTTTCCTGGCTCTGTCTGCTCACTCCTGTCTCCTGCTTCTTCTGTAACCGCAGCCCCCAGACTCAGCGGCAGGTCTTCGGCTCAGCTGCTCCTGCCCTTGAATAAACACTCATTTCTCTATGCTCACGTCCATCTCCGGTTTCCCTCCGTGTGGATCAGAGTCCGAGTCAGTAACTGTGTCCTCAGTCCCTTACAGAAAGGCGATGTGAATGTGGACTTTTCCCCAGGCTGACCCATCTGGGCTGGGTCAATCAATATAATTGAGAGCAATGGCTTTCAGACTCCTCTGAACACAGCCCACAGCAGGAAATACATTTTACGGTGTACTTAGCATACACATACAAACGCACACACACGGTTATAACAAAACAATACTTCCCCTATGCTGTGAGCATGATACTCTGATGTTTTTCCTTCTATTTCATTCTACCCTATTCCGTTTAGTCAAACAATGCTGACTACAACCCACCAAAGGATGGCAGCCTGTAATGGGAAAAACACCAACTTATGGTGCACAGAATCGAGAGCAGAAGGGATATAAATGGTCCAAGATAGAATTCGTTTTGTGATCTGGATCATAAACCCGCATCGGAGTCTAAATGTCTACTGTCTTATAGACCAGAAGGTGTTTGGGGGGGAACTGGGGGCAAGGCCCACAAAGTTGCACCAGCAACATGGCAAGCTGAGGAAGTGCTAGCCCAGTTTCTTTGGCGAATAGAAGACAACCATCTCCACATGGCCGGGAGCAATCAAAACCAGACTGTAAGATGCCCTGAAACCCCCCACCCCCACCCCTGCCGCCTTCAAAAGTCAAACAGCATGCCGCTCCTGTACTAATCCCTACGGCCAGTGACTTGGGGCTGCGCCATGGAAGGCGGAGCTTGGAATGGGGGGAGCCCTTATCTCACTGCCTACTGGCCCCAGCCTGGTTTCCTTACAAGCAGTGGAGCCCTGCAAAGGATCTGTGCTCCTTCCTCACCAACAAGTCTGCTTTCCACATGAGAGCAGGGAGCTCTGGGGAGGGGGCCGGCACAGACGATGTGGAATGAGGCTGGGGTTCTGTGATCCTGCTGATGTGACTGATGGGCAAGGTAATAAGGAAATGGGGAGGGGGGCCAAGTCACCTCTTCTTTCACCAAGAAGACCACAAAGGCTATAGTTCACAGCTTCCCTAAGGTGGCTGCCATTTTCCCGTGCTGCTCTGTGAGGTCTACCCCCTATTCTCCCGGCACTATGGATACCTTGGAGGCAGGGGGCGGTACAGGAAGCTCCTTCTTCAGCTAGGAGGGCAAGTCCGGCTAGGTGGGATCATGGAGGCTCGCAGGAGCACACCGTGGGGGCTGGTCTGGATGGTAGAGGGTTTGGTGAAGCAGGCCGCGGACGGCTGGGAGATCGTCAGGATCTGAGGGCAAGAAAGGGGCGGTTCGGAGGCTGGGGCCCTGCTGGGCACCCGGTGCAGGGCTGCTGGGGCCGAAGCTCTCCCAGACTCACCCACGCCCAGCTCCTGCAGCAGGTTCTGGAACTCTGGCTCGGCCTCCAGCAGCTTCAGCAGATTGGTCGACTCCATCCGCTCAAGCTGCACCTCCCAGTACACGTAGATCTTCTGGTTGAACGTGACGTACACGAGGCAGGGGCTGTTGCGGCCCTCCTTGCAGGCATACAGGCCTGAGGGGTGTGGGGGTGAGATAAAGGTCAGAGAGTTCCAGTCCCAGTGCAGAAAGGCAGAGAACAAGAGGCAGGCCTTGAAGTCAGCAGTTTTGACCCTCCCACAGACGTCAAGCAGAAAGCTAAAAGCACTCTTTATTTTTTTTTTAAGTTTTCTAAATGTTAATTTATTTTTGAGAGAAAGAAAGAGACAGAGCTTGAGTGGGGAAGGGGCAGAGAAAGAGACACACACAGAATCTGAAGCCGGATCCAGGCTCTGAGCTATCAGCACAGAGCCTGATGCTGGGCTCGAACTCACGGACCTTGAGATCATGACCTGAGCTGCAGTCGGATGCTTAATCAACTGAGCCCTCAGGTGCCCTTAAAGGCCCTCTTTCTATTCCATCTGTGTTGGGAACTCAGTAAAATAGGTAAAATACCTGCCCCATTTCAGATATGAAAAAACACCACGAGGGGTGCCTAGGTGGCTCAGTTGGTTAAGTGTCCGACTTTGGCTCAGGTCATGATCTCACTGTTCGTGAGTTCAAGCCCCATATTGGGCTCTGTTCTGACAGCTCAGAGCCTAGAGCCTGCTTCGGATTCTGTCTCCCTCTCTCTCTGCTCCTCCCTCACTCATGTTCTGTCTCTCAAAAATAAATAAACATTAAAAAATTAAAAAAAAAAACAAAAACAAAAACAAAAAAGCAAAAACACCACGGGGCACCTGGGTGGCTCAGTCAGTTAAGCGTCCGACTTCAGCTCAGGTCATAATCTCATGGCTTGTGAGTCCTAGCCCCACGCTGGGCTCTGTGCTGACAGCTCAGAGCCTGGAACCTGCTTCAGACTCCGTCTCCCACCCCCCTCTCTCTGCCCCATCCTCTCTCTCTCTCTAAAAATAAATAAACATTAAAAAAATAAAACCCAGCATGCCTGGGTGGCTGACAGCTCAGAGCCTGGAGCCTGCTTCAGATTCTGTCTCTCTCTTGCTGTGGCCCTCCCCACTAGCATTCTGTCTCTCTCTCTCTCAAAAATAAACAAAAGTTAAAAAAAATAGGTGTTGAGTTATAGTACGATGGTTTAATAAGTTAAAAAAAAAAAACAAACCTGGCAGAACGGCCCCCAAAAGTGATTTGTTGATTTTCCCATCTTCGTGATAGCCTTGATGGAATGAGGGGTAGCCTTGGGAGTCCAAGGGGCAGATTAGCAAAACACGACCAGAAACTAAAGCTGGGGCCCTGTGACCCAACTCTTACTTTTGGTTCAGGTCATGATCTCCCGGTTTGTGAGCTCTCTCTGACAGCATGGAGCCTGCTGAGAGCCTCCTCTCTCTCTGCCCCTTCACTACTTGTGCACAAGCACTCTCTCTCTCTCTCTCTCACAAAAAAAATTTTTTTAATTAAAGTAAAAGGGGCACCTGGGTGGCTCAGTCAGTGAAGCGTCCCACTTAGCTCAAGTCATGATCTCACGGTTTGTGAGTTCGAGCCCTGCGTCCAGCTCTGTACTGACATCTCAGAGCCTGGAGCCTCCTTCAGATTCTGTGTGTGTGTCTCTCTCTCTGCCTCTCCCCTGCTCATGCTCCATCTCTATCTCTCTCTCAAAAATAAAATAAATATTTAAAAAAGAATTAAAAAAAAAAAGAAACTAAGGCTTCTCTTTGGCGGCAGTCCCTTCTTCAAAGGCATTTTAACCTTCCGGTCTACTGGCGTATGTACACCAGAGCGCTGTACAATCCTTACCAATTTAGCAACCAAAGATCTCCCTGTGTCACCTGAAAAAGCCAGGGCTGCTTTCCAAGTCCCAGATTTGGAATAAACGTGAATTGTCTGGGAGAATGCTCCTCACAAACTGTTGGCATGCTCAGATGGGAGAGAACTTTCTGATGCCTTCACGCATCCCTGACAGACAGATGATAAGAACTCATTCTTATCATTCTTTAAGAGATGCAGAGATGAGCTGTCAGTCTCTCACTCCTTATTTAAAACTGCAGAAGGCAATTTAGTACCCACCATCACCCTCTATCAAAAGTGCTGAAGAGCTCATTTGTTTATGCAGATGCACGTTAGGGGACACAGAGAGGGTAGAAATGAGAGGCGCATGAGTGTGGCTGGAGAGGGGCCGCGGGGCGGGGTCCCACCTGCACAGAAGGCTCGGATATTCTCATCCACTTGGAAGCGAACAACGGTGCGGTTGTGATCAATGATATACGTCTGTCCATCCCACGCACAGGCAACCACCTCCTCGTGCCCGTTGCCCTGGAGAAGGCCAGAGACAAGGATGCAGGGGTGGCCCGGAGCTGGCAAATAGAAGAGCACCCCTAACAATGGGGCTGGATGGAATATAAAGGAGCTGTGGACCCGGCTCTGGGTGACAAACGGCCAGCTGGGAAAGAAAGCAACCCTAAGCTTCCTACTGACCTTCCTCCGTCAGTCACCAAACAACTGATGAAGGAGACCCCATTATTCCCAATTTTATTTTATTTATTTATTTTTAAATGTCTTCTTTATTTCTGAGAGAGAGAGAGAGACAGCGTGAGTAGGGGAAGGTCAGAGAAAGAGGGAGATACAGAATCTGAAACAGTCTCCAGGCTCTGAGTTGGCTGTCAGCACAGAGCCCAATGCAGGGCTCAAACCCACGAGCCGTGAGATCATGACCTGAGCCGAAGTCGGACGCTTAACCAACTGAGCCACCCAGGTGCCCCTATTCCCAATTTTATAGGAAGGAAACTTCAGCTTATAGAAGTGAAGTCATGCCCACTCGTGGTCACTCAGCATAGAAGGGAGGCAGCACAGAATCAGGACTCAGGCCTGTTCTACCAGCTTCAAAGCCACGTGCCTCTTCTCCTAAACCATCACGCATGCACGCTGGCAGAAAAATTATAGAACGTACATCTGGAGTTGGAGCCAATAACTCACTCTGGACCCTAATAAATTACTTCTCTTTGGAGCCCTTGCTCCTGCCAGAAGGTGTCGCCGAGAGATGGCGCAGCAGTGCGGAGACGGTGCTCAACACTGAGGAATTAGGAGAAACAGACTCACCTGAGACGGAGTTAAGCGTGTCTGAAGAGACTTAGATAAAGATCGAGAGTGAACTGTGAAGTGAGAATGGCCTCGTTTAAATCACGTCTCTGCACGTGGAGAACGTAAGAATGTTCCTCTCACCGTGACATCCAGTTTCTCTAAGGCGAAAAGCTGGTGATCCACCTGCACCGACCACAGCAGCTTGTCTGCCTCCTCCATAAGCTTCAGCGTTCCTGCAGGGGGACAGGCAGGCTGGGGTGGGCAGGACGGGACCCCTGGGCGCACCCCACAGGCACACGGCATCCCGCCCCAGCGGGCACTCACCATCCAGGGTGCAGAGGGCAAAGAGGCCGGAGCCACCAGTCTCAGAGTTGTGGCCTGTGGGGGGGGGGGGGGGGGGGGGGGGGGGGGGGGGGGGGGGGGGGGGGGGGGGGGGGGGGGGGGGGGGGGGGGGGGGGGGGGGGGGGGGGGGGGGGGGGGGGGGGGGGGGGGGGGGGGGGGGGGGGGGGGGGGGGGGGGGGGGGGCAGAAGGGCAGGAAGAAGAAAATGTGAAGGGCAGGGGAAAGGCAGAGCACACAGGGTGAGGGGCAGGCCAAGGCAGGGAGGAAGGGAGGCCTCTGCGTCTCGCCTCTCCCGGGACTGATGCTTGCCCCTCAGCGCCCTTCTGTGTCCCCACCCCAAGTTCACCTCGTCTGATGTTGCCAATGAGGTGGGTGGAGACATTCTTGTTGTGGATGCGGCCGGAAGTCTGGTGCAACACGACATCTCTTGCAGCCGGGGTCTCCCTGGGGGGGATGTTGGGGGGAGAGCGTATGGGAGGAGGGATACTAAGTGGGGACCAAAGGAGCCTAATTCTCCAGGACCTTTGTGGCCCTGATCTCTGTAAGAGCTTCTAGGATGTGAGTTAGCCTGGAAATCTATTGCTGACACTGTCTGGCCCATGTGGCGAGTAGAAAAGTGAGGGACAAGGCTGCCAAGTTAGAATCTTGGAATCTCTTCCAGGTGCTACAAGGGTAAAGCCCAGGATTCCCTGGGTCCTTAATGGGGCAAAGGTGCCGTGCCAGGACCCAGCCAAAACAGCTCTGTCCACTGCAGACCCGCCCACGGCCACGTGCATCCAGAAACCCATCTGGATCCCGCCCACCCCACACCACCCCTGGGCCTGCACCCTTACCTACTGCCCTCCGGGGCCCCCTCAGGGGTAGGCGGGGGCCCGGTCTCCTTATTCCAGGTACACAGTAGTATGGCGTAAGCACAGCCCGGCTGAGATACCATCAGTTCAGGAACACCCAGGGGCCCTGGAGTCACTGAGAGACTGTCCACCTGCACCAGGGAACAGGGCCTTAAAGGGGGCCGGGCACAGAAGGAAGTGGGGCCCCGCAGAAAGCAGGAGAGACCAGTGGGCCGGGGGACCTGGGAACAGCACCCCGCGCTCGGAAAGCAACAGTAGGAGGAAGAATTCGAGTTCTCAGGGTTCCTGCCTGGTGCCATCGTCTCCACACAGCCCATCTGCTCTCCACTGTGCACGCCTCATCCAGGGTCCACACCCCGACACAGAGCACGTGGCACCCGCCAGCACACTCCCAACTCTTAGCCCGGTGCTCCTTCCTCCTTGCCTATTGTTAGTAATTTCCCCCCAAGATCCTGATTCAAAGCTCTCTTCGTTAGATTTCTCTCAACAAGGAGATCTTCCCTTCCTCCCACTCTAAATCCTGACCCAGCACTGTGCTCCCTAGAGGGCCCCTCCAGGAGGGCTTCCTTCCTGCTCTCCGGGCTCCCCGAGCCCCATGCTCAGCCTCTCACCTGACCCTCCAGCGTCCACTTCTTGAGTGACACCAGCTGCCCTGCTGGATGTTCAGTGCCCTCGCCCAGATCTTCCCAGCGGAAAGCCCGTACCACACGGTCCGTGTAACCGACCACCAGCTCGCAACACCCATCTCCATCTGTGGGTCCAGAGAGTAAGACGAGTTTGGAGCCACATGTGTGCTGGTCAGCTTGAATCCTGCAAACACGCCCTCCCCGCGCCCCTGCTAACACCACCAGCATGGGCTGTTACCCAGGACAACTTCAGACCCCAAGGGCTGTGCTAGTCACCTCAGACACTTTGTGCCATGCTTCTTCCCTCAGATACACGAGTGTCCTGAATCGTGCCACGTACCCAACCCCCCGCCTTCGTGGCAGCTTCTGGCCGAGACATCCATCGGCCCTATATCTGTAACGACTCACTCCCTTGCCACCTTCAGTGTCTGATCAAATGCCACCTTCCCAGCACGGACTTTCCAGACAACTCCATTTAGAACTGGTACCTCTGCTTCTATACCTGGACACTCTCTAGCCCCTTTCTGTGGCTTATTTTCTCTACGGCACTTACTGCCTTCTAATAAACTATTTAATCTTCTTAAAGCATTTTTTACACTGTTTGTTTTCTGTCCCTTCCTTGTAAAGGTCCAAGAAGGCAGTGATTTTTGTCCGTCTTATTCACTGCTGCAATCACAGTGCTTAGAATGATATCTAGTTTATAATGGGAGCTCAGTAACTCAACATAAGATGCATAATAATTGCACCCATGAATACTAACTACCTCCCTGAATCCCCTGAGATCTGCTCTACGACCCGTTGGCTCCTATTCCCCCCTGCTGCCTGCAGAGACAGCCATGCCCACCGATGTCGCTGATCAGCATGACCTTGGTATTGGCAGGGATGTGCTGCTTGAAGACTGGATGCTGGTCCTCTCCCATGAGGGTCTCGTGGTGCCCAGAAGCATCCAGGGCCTTAGCAGGCGTCAGATCATACAGGTGAAACCATCCCTCAGCACTCACCGCCACCACCAGGTTCTGGGAGAGGCAGAGGCATAGGAGGGATGGGCTGGGGAGGGAAGTTTGGGCACAAGCCTGGTCGTTAAAGCACGGAAGTGAGGGCTGAAGCCTTTAACTCTCAGCTGATTCCCAGCAGGAGATGGGGAGCAATCTAGGCAAAGCCTTGGAGTTCTACCAAGGTCCCAACGACCCCTAAAGTTCTTACCTTTCCTTTATTACAAACATCTCCAACCCCAACACAAGTCAGCTGTAAAGAAAAGGAGACACATGCTGAGGGAGACCAGTATCCCTAATCTCGGTGAAGCAATGAGAGGGTTTGCTAGCTACCATCATTTGCTGAAAACCTGTGCCATATGACCTACACTGATAGTTCGTGTTAATCTCGTTCTTGCACTGCTCTATGTCTGGTTTACCTAGAGAGCAGTATGGAGACCCCAAGTAGTTAAGACTGTCTGGGCTGAACAAGACAAAACAAAAGATACATCTAATACAGCCAATCTATCATATTTCTAGACTTATTCAAAGTATTACCCCCCATTTTGTACTATACTTTGTGAGAGCAGATGACCTGGGCAGTTTTTAAAGTACTAAGGTAGCCACTCTGAAACAGAAGATAAAAAACAACCCACAGCTGGGGGCGCACTGCCTGGCAGCTTCGCTCCCTGAATGAAATGAACCCCGAGGCAGAGGCTGGCTGAGTAGCTGGTGAACTGGGACACAATGGTGGGTGTCCGTGTGTCTTAGCCTTGATAGTCCCTGCACAGAGAGGATCCTTCTGCCCCTCATGGCCCAGGAAGTTGAATACTGACCATGCCCTGGCAGGAACAGGTGAGCCACGGGCGACTGTCATCACTCTTATACACGAACAGCTTCCCACTGGTGTCCCCCACCACCAGTTCATTTAACTTCAAACAGAGAGAGAGAGAAGACAGTGTTAGGATGGGATCCTAAGGAACCACCTGGATCTTTTCTCTAGGGGGCCCATACCGGGGACGTCACAAGACCTCAATTTGTATCTTCATCAACTTTAGTAAAAATCTTTTGCAAACAAGCCACAGTTTCCCAGAGTTTCTTTTTTCTTTTAAAAAAAATTGTTGACGTTTATTTTCAGAGAGCAAGCGTGAGTTTGATCACAGGGAGGGATAGAGAGAGAGGGAGAGAAAGAATCCCAAACAGGTTCCTCATTATCAGTGTGGAGCCTGATGAACCTGATATGGACTTGAACTCATGAACCATGAGATCATGGCCTGGTCTGAAATCAAGAGCTGAAATTAACCGACTGAGCCACCTGGGCACGCCTCCCCGAATTTCTTTATTTCCCTGTGGGTGTGGGTGTGGGTGTGTGTGTGTGTGTGTCAGAGGAGGATGGCAGAATGGGGCAACACGGAACCTATGACTCTTCCCAGAAAAGTCTGACAACTTGAACAGCTCCGTGACCTGCTTGCCTGATTTCAGCTCTTCCAATCTGTCCACTGCCAATGGGACATGTTTTGAAAACAACCCCGAACATTGAACTTTTGGAAAACTGAACTTCAGACCACGTACTTAATCAAGGGCCAAATAAAAAGACAAGGTCAGCTCTGGGGGCCCTCCTTCCTCTAGCAACACCTTTTGATCTTGATGTGTATGAGTGAGTGAACACCCAGGGGATGGAGGTGCCGGAGGGGACAGCATGAAGGGGTTGCTGGCGTCAGCCTCCTCTGCGTTCTGGGCCTCTGGCGCCCCCAAGTGGTGGCCAAGCTCTCAGGAGGGGTCTTCCTGCATGGAGCCTCTTCCTATTTGTATCTGGGTACCCCATTTCCCAGCCAGTCCGCAAAGGCTGCCCGCCTTTCCAGTGGTTAACAGTGATAACAAGGTAGCACCCAACCCTGTTTCCATAAATAGCTGTCCGATGTCCCCTGGTGGGGAGTGGGAGGGTGGTGGGGAGAGAAGGAGTGGAGGCAACACCCTCTTCTTAGTCTCAAAATAGTGAATATCAGATTCTCAAGATATTTCATTCTAAAGGCAACAAAGACATAACAGATCAAAAATAAGGACAAGTTAAAAATGAATTGGGATTTATCAATGATTTACTTGATTTGAATCTCATAAAATATCTTCTCTATTTATTTTTAATAGTTATGGGAATGTTATTGTATTATATAATGTTATACTGGTGTGAATATGAGATCACAGAAGCATAAAACAAGAAGCATAAAACACTAAGCTCTCTCCACCTGACGTTTCCATTTTGGCTGCTCCAGAGGACTGTGGCAGACACACAGGGGACAGGCTGCATAGCACAAAGGCTCCGTGCAGCTGCCTGCATTTGAATCAGGCTCTCTATGCTTACATTTTTTCACCCATAAAACAAAGATCGTAAGGGTATCTACCGCATAAAGTTGTTGCAAGAATTGAGCCAACGGAAGATGGCCTTTAAAACACTGACTGGCAGGGACATCTGGGTGGCTCAGTCGGTGGTTAAGTGTCTGACTTGGGCTCAGGTCATGGTCACAGTTTGTGGACTCTGTGCTGAGAGCTCAAAGCCTGGAGCCTCCTTCAGAATCTGTGTCTCCCTCTCTCTCTGCTTCTCCCCCACTAGCATTCTGTCTCTCTTTCTCTCTCTCCCTCAAAAATGAATAAACAAACAAACAAAAACAGTGACTGGCATACAGCAAGCACTAATACCAGGTGGTTTTCAGCCTCTAGTTAAAAGGCCTCCGTGGCTAGGGACCCTAGTATCTTTCGTACAATTCATTCTTTTTTATACATTCATTCAGCAAATGCCATAGTCCATACCATCACGTCAGAAAATGTTTACTTTTCTCTTAAATTTAACTTAATTAAAACAATTTTTTTTTTAATGTTTTTACATTTTTGAGAAAGAGTGTGTGCAGGGGAGGGGCAGAAAGAGAGAGGAGGACGAAGGATCTGAAGTGAGTTCTGTGCTAAGAGATATGGGGCCCAAACTCATGAAGCATGAGATCATGACCTGACCTGAAATCAGACACTTAACTGACTGAGCCACCCAGGCGCCCCAAATTTAATTTAATTTAAGAGAAAGAGAGAGAGTGTGTGTGAGTGGAGGAGAGGGGCACAGAAAGAGAAGAGAGAATCCCGAGCAGGCTCCATGCTCAGCAAGGACCCCAGCACAGGGCTTGAACCCATGACCCTGGGATCATGACCTGAGCCGAAATCAAGAGCTGGAAGCTCAACTGACTGAGCCACCCAGGCGCCCTGATAAATGTTTAATTACTAGACAATTAACAAAAAGATTTTTTTTAAGAAACAGAGAAAAATCAGAACGAAAGAGAATGCTCAGTCAGCCTTTGAATTTTCAGTAGACAATAAATTAGGGGTACAAAGATAAATGCCACAGACTCCCTGCTGAGGGGGACCTTACAGTTTTAACAAGAACGCAGACACAGGTATGGTAAGAGCAGTGACCTAGTATGTGGTCCAGCCAGGCAATGACAAGCAAGACCGGCAATGACAGTGAGGCAATGGCTGGCCTCCTGCAAGTGGATATTTCCAAAATAGCCCATCTGCTTTCCAGCAGCGACAATGCTTCCTAGCAGTTCGGCTTCCCTGTGGCTGATCCCGGCTCTGGCCTCTGGAGGTCACTCACCGACACTAAGAAACCCCAGCTGGAGAGTACTGTCACCATAAAATAGTAAAGGAGACAGGAGAAGAGATCTTTGACCTGCTACAGTCTTCTAGAGCCTTTCCCCTGATGTAGCCAGGCTTCTATGGGCAGCCCTACAAGGGTGTGCATTCTATCCCTGGCTTCCCCTGCCACTTACCAGGAAACAAATTAGTTTCAGGGAACTTCAGGCTAATGATTTATTAGGATGAAATAAGTCTTTTTCCTGCCCCAAATGCTGAACGAATAACAATATTTCTATCCACACTCATGCAGGCTGAATGTACCACATACATACATATATATATACCACTAGGCAACAATCTCAACTACTTGCTCTTCTTTCATTATATTTATCAATAACATGCAAAGCCCTTCAAAATTGCTTTACTAATCACATTTGCTTTCCATTACAACCCTCATTTATTCAACAAACATCTGAGTACCTACTATGTGCCTGGCACAATTTAAGTGTTGGGAATATAGCAGTGAAAAAGCAGATAAAAAAATCCCTAGACTTATGGATCTTACAACTCAGGGTTTAAAAAAAAAAAAAGTAGTACAATATATCTAATATTGTAGAACTGGGTGTATTAGTGCAATCTACTCAGAAAGTATAATTTCCAAAAAAGCTGATGCCGTGAAGCTATGAAAAAAGGCAGGTATTTTTCCCCTTTAAACAAAAAAAGACCATCAGATAACTTGGGAACTCATGCATGCCTAAAGCCACTCTGTTAATTTACTATTTGAAAATGCCTCTCTGGATTTTCTCATAAAATTGTACTGCTTAGCATATTAAATGTGAAAGCCCGAAAAAAAAAATACAAACTTACGAGAATAACTCCTTCCTTCTTACAGGGAGCAGAGCCAAAAGAGGCCTCATAAAATATCTTCTCTATCACAGCACAAAGGAGGCTGCCGGTATGTTTTAGCCCTTCTCACTCCCACCCCCACTCAGGGAAGAGAGGACGGCAATAAGGTGCTTTCCATTAAAAATAGGAAATAATGGATGAAAACATAGTCTATTAAGACTGTCTCACACCAGCAACAGCCCCCACCCTCTCTGATGCTCCACCTAGGAACTCTTTACGTATTTTCTTTAATGCACCTCTTTACATTTTGTTGTTCTTGTGACTATCACCCCAGCTGTGAGCTAGCTGAGGGCTGGGACTGTCTTGTTCATTTTGGAATTCCCAGACTATAGCAGAGTCCTTGGCACACAAGGGGCACTTGAATAAACATTTGCAGAAACAGAATCAAATACTAACAACACTTAACACTTGGTGTTAACTGTGTGCCAGGCAAAGTTCTACCTGCTTTATCTCTACGAATGCATTTAAATAACGAGAAAAAGAACAACCGCGGAGATGAAACGGTAGATGTCTACTGTTTTTGTAATTCAACCAAGGTGAGGTGACTTCACGTTGCCATACACCTACTGTACTATGTGGAAAAGGCATTACTGAAACCCTGCATTATGAATGGGGTGGTCGGGGTGTAGAAGCAGAAAAGTACAGCAGTGTATGCCGGCGCAAGGGGCCACGTGTAAGAGCAGCAAAGCAGCATTTTCAGCTTATCTGGAGGCTTCGAAAGGTAAACTTATTTGAGGTGAGGGCCCTGCATAACGAAAGAAGCAGTGAGCCGGGTTATCTGGCCACCGGTTTACCAGGCTCCTACTGTGAACAAGTTACTGACTTAGGCAAAGGATCAGTTACCTATGCCCCTAAAAGAAAACCAGACCAGGGAACCAGTGCAGTTCAGACCTGACGCCCACGCACGTAAGCTATCTGCCAGTTCTCCTCAGGCCACCGCGCACGCGCGCCGCTCACACCGCACGCCTAGGGCGGCTTCTCCACTTCCCTGGCCCCGCCCCACTCTGGCGCAGAGCCGGGCCGCGTCTCTCCCAGTGCGCATGCACTGACCGTATCGTTGTCGACGTCCCCCAGGCAGATCGCGTGCGGGAAGAGGCTCCCACTAAATTCCAGGGCCACGCGTTGCACGTAGCTAACCGACCTCATCTCACTTGCAAGGGCCGAGGGACCGGGGAGGTCCGCCAAATGTTCCCCGAGAGCCGCCCGAGCGGAAGGCCAGCCAGAGCGGAAAGTTACGTCAACGCTTGAGCCTCCAATCGCGGCCTTCCTCGCTTAACCTTCGAGGAGGTGGGTCTTCCTAGCCCTCTGAGCGTTGGGGGCGGGCTTACCCAGCTACTGATGTGAGTGACAGAGGCATGGGCCACTCGTTTTCTCCAGAGGTCTAGAGAGTCTGGGTAGACCAACCTTGATGGGGGATGGAGGGGGCGCTAACTGTTCCCCAGGCAACGGGCTCTCCAGGGCTTGACCTAATAACCTTGACCTCTTCCTTTGTTGCCCTAGCAACGGAGACTCCCAGCTATTAGACTAAACTAGGGAATCGTAGTAACTGTAGTATTGACAACTGTATGGTTTCCAACAGTGTTTTGTTGTTTTTTTTTTAAAACAACTATACAGTTACCTGTTAGGAGTCCTGAAAACAATGTAGTGAATTGAACCGGCATTTAAAAAAAAACAAAAACAAAAAACAGAATAGAATAGAAAATACCAAGTGACTCTAGAGTAGTAAGGTAAGTATTCTTTTTATGAGACCTTTGTTTCAGTTGTAAATATATATATATATATATACACACATACATACATACACATACATATTATATACTGGCTTATCACGTGAAAAAGACTTTTAAAATGGTATGTGTATGCTTTTTTGGTCCTTAGTTTTGAAAAACACTTGCTGTAAAGTGTATTCATGTATACTGTTTCCTGTAATTAGCATAACAACTCTGAGAACTTGTATTATTATTCAGTATTTTTGGATGAGTAAAACAGGTTCAGCAAGATTAAGTAAGTCTTTCTTTGGAGTAAAGGCATCAGAAGTATTTACAAAATTCTGTCGTTGTTCAAGACACTTTATTTTTTTAATTTTTTAAAATTTTTTTAAAAAATTTATTTCTAGGAGAGAGAGAGAGAGAGAGAGCGTGAGCAGGGGAGGGTCAGAGAGAGAGGGAGTCACAGACTCCAAAACAGGCTCCAGGCTCTGAGCTGGCAGTCAGCACAGAGTCCCACGCAGGGCTTGAACCCACGAACCGTGAGATCATGACCTAAGCAAAAGTCAGACGCTTAACCAACTAAGCCACCCAGGCGCCCCGTCAAGACACTTTAGAGTTTAGGTCTACACTGGTCTTTCAGAAGTCAACATTGTGAAAATAAGAATATCTACCTCACCTGGACATGTTGGAAGGGACTGGTCCTGCTTTCTATATCTGAACATAATGGGAGAAGGCATTGGAAGGCAGGACATTTTTGCCTGGGTGTGTGAGAGGGGGGTAGCACATTTTGTCCCAGAGTTCCCAGTGGATCTGACAGCCAGATAAGATGAAAACAAGGAACAGCAAACAACACAGTAAACAGGAGGCAGTCTAGAGAAACACTGGGGATTGTAGATAGATTCATATTTCTGTGGTGAAATATATACAGTGGGGCTGAGTCCATTCAAAAGTACTGTGTCACACAGGTGTACCTAGTGCTTTAAATACATTATCTCATTATGGAGGGGTTGCAGGCCACCTCACTCTACCATATCTCTCTCCTTCTCTCATAGCTGAAACTTTTTGCTTCGTTGTAGGTTTTAAGGGGTAGGAAAATAAAGAGCCAATTGAAAAATGTTTACCTCTAAACGCAAAGTTAAATAGTTTTGAGTTACGTTTCCTTTCACTATTATTTCTCTATTCTTTCTCTTCCTCCAGCCTTTTGAATGAAACTGTAAAATAGATAAACCAATTCATAAATAAGCCAGGACAAAGTAGATGAGGATCACCCCGCTTCTGCCACCAGGTACCCTGGCCTGACCCAGTTTTCTGAAGTCATACCGTGACCCAGCACTTTGCAGTGCCTCAGTTTTATCTTCTCCATCACTTGCGTTTCTTGTTCTTGACCTCTCTGTGCCAAGGGGTGCCTGTTAATGTTTGTCCTGTAGGTCATGTCATTGCGATGTTATGTCACATGGCAACTTGGATACCATGCCTTTTGGCTTTTGTCAAGAGAACCAAATAAAGTTAGGGAGGGAGGAAAGAACAATGTGACATGGATCAAATCATTCCCTCTTCCCATCATGTGTCAGTTACTTGAGCTGCCTTGTGTGTTACAGTCACAGCAAGTGGAACCCTGGACTAGGGGTTGCACGGCCACGTGGACAGATCCCTGGCTCCACAAGGAGCACCCATGTTCTTGACCCTTTCTAGCAGGATGGCTGGTGGGTCTCCACTGGCACCATCTAGGGCTCGCCTTTTTTAAGCCAGGCACTCTTTCAGCATGAGTTTTGGTGCACTCCTAGAACTGCCTAACCAGGCCATCATCCTGGTTAGATGACATGGATACAATTGTGTGGGTAGTGGCCTAGTCTTTACCAGCCAGCCAAATGGTAGCTTCAGTGGAAACCTGCTATGGGAACGGGATGAGAGGGGTGGGGGACGGGGTGGGGGTGGGGGTGGGGCGGGGCAAGTGTCTGCTTAGGAAGGCCAGGTAAGAAACTGGACTTTTAAAACTTTCTACACAACTTTATATACGTGAGGCTCAGAGCTACTCACCATCCTGGGCGCTAGGGCCTACGGCTTCCTAATGGGCTCAGTTTGAGACTTCCTCATTCTCCTTCCCGAGCTACAGTGCATCTTAGCATACTAAAGGTTCTGAGAAGTCCTCAAAGACAGAAACCTGTTTCTCAGACTTACTTGACCCAGAAATTAGGTAGAATAACAGGTAGAATTAGGCAGCCCTGCTCTGAGTGAAATGCTGTTATTCAGAGCTCTCCTTTTGAATCCCACTCCCTTCCTCACAAGTTTGGTGCTGTCAGAAGGGACCACCCACTCTGGGAAGCTTGTCAGGGTTGTTGTCTGGTGTTCTTTTGGTTTTTTTTTTTTGTTTTTAATATTTTAAGTAATCTCTACACCCAACATGGGGCTTACAGTCACAGCCCCGAGATTAAGATTAAGTTCTACTGACTGAGCCAGCCAGGCACCCCAGAGTTGTTGCCTGTTAAAGACTCTCCTGGCCATTCGCTGAAGGGTAAAGAGTAGCCCTTCATGGTCTCAGAAGTCCAAACATGAGGACATGGGCTTCAAACACAAAGGATGATGAAAATGCTTCAGAACGACATAGAAGTGGCGGTCATACAACGCTGTAATTAGACTAAATACCAGTCAATTGTTCACATTAAAATGGCTAATTTTATATTATGTGAATTCCACTTCAATTAAAAGAATATATATATATATACAAACAGAACAATTTTATTTAAAATTTTTTAAATGTTTATTTATTTTTGAGAGACAGAGTGGTAGAAAAAGAGAGAGAGACACACAGAATCCAAAGCAGACTCCAGGCTCTGAACTGTCAGCACAGAGCCCGATGTGGGGCTTGAACCCACGAACCGTGAGATCATGACCTGAGCTGAAGTCGGACGCTTAACCGACTGAGCCCCCCAGGCACCCCAAACAGAACAATTTTATGCGGGAAGCACTCCTAACAGGCACAGGAGATTGGTGATCCCCGAGCCCACGTGTCTTGAGGGAGGGAGACAGGGTATGGCCAGTCCTCTCTTCTAACCAAAGTCTGAAAGTTCATGAAGGCATTATTATTTTTTTAATGTTACTTATTGGGTTGGGGGGGACAGCAAGCAGGGGAAGGGCAGAGAGAGAGAGAGAGGAGAGAGAGAGAATCCTAAGCAGGCTCCATGCTGTCGGTGCAGAGCCTGCCTCAGGGCTCAATCCCGCAAACTGTGAGATCCTGACCTGAGCAGAAACCGAGTCAGAGACTTAACTCAAGTGCCCTGGCATTGTTGTATTTCTTGATCATCCCTCCTCAGAACCACTTTGTGAATCTTTTCATTCTTACATTACTACCAAATTGTGTATTTAGTGTTGTGTCATTACATGCTAAACAAGGTTTTATTATGAACTTAGATTTTATAGTTGAGGATAGTGGGTGCATCTAAGTTATCTGAGGTTGGCAAGCAGCTGGGGAACTACAGCCATAAAGTCAGCAATAATGACTTCCAGAAAGAGGACAAGCTCTCTTACATACATTTTTCCTTTGGCTTTATTCAGCACTGCCCTTAGCCTCTTTTCGTTTCAACTTAATGATTACAAGGCTCTGAGATGATCAGCGTGTGGAAAGGGAATGGGAGAAACATGGAAGACAGGAGTAAGATGTGAGATTCCACTCTTGCAAGTGAAATGAGATGCACAATTTCCCCCCTTTTACTCTTAGGGTGGTGTGGCCAGTGCAGAGTGAAGGAGTCCAGTACTCTGATGCTGGTGTAGGGCAGGCAGGGTTAGGCCGGGCCCCACAAGTGGCTGTGGACTACAATAAAGTTTCTAATCTTCAGACTAAATGGGTTGGGAAAGGGTTTAAGCAATTGGAGGGTAGGATTTGGATGCAGTGTAGAGTCAGTGCAGGTGGGGCAAGGGAGGATGCAAGACAAGAGGAATCTTTGGTGGACAGGAGTATGGGCTGGAGGTGCATGGTGATGTTGGAGAGGGGCCACTGGAATGGAGATGGGAAATACTCGGGAGATAAACTTTATAGAACTTAATGTTAGGATCAGAAATAGGACAAGATGAGCTCTTACATTTTCGAGACTGCAAATCTCCGTGAACAGCTAGCAATGCTAGTCACTCCCGGCTTTCCTTTATTCAAGCACATTGTCTCCACATGGGAAGATTTCAAAGGTTGGTGAGGGTTAACGGACTAGGTCACGAATTTGAATGTGGTCTAGAGCAGAGTTTAAGTACACGTTGGGTCTGTTTTTAATCTTGAAGACTTCTGGTCACTTAAACATCTTGGTAAGAGTTTTAATGTTACATAAACCAAAACTTGTCCAGTTCCAGGATTCCACAGAAGTGTATTTGTTTGAAATTCCTGGGATCCTATACCACCATTCAGAGCCGTAAGGAACCTCAGGAGTGCTTTTTGTCCACTCAAAATCTGCTCAACTTGCCCAAGGTCACATGAACCTCACAGATTGAGTTTGGATTTGCTCAAGAGAGCTCCTATTCCAGGCAGACCCCTTTCTATTTAGAGCTTTG